AAATGAGATTTTTTTAAGAATAGGAACCTCTGGGTGGCCAGAAATGACACTCCCTGATTGTGACAGACATGTGTTGCCTTGGCATAGGCCTACAGTATTTTTATATATTTTTTAGTCCAACAGCAAGAAGAGCTCTGGCCGTTTTGGGGGGGGGGGGGAAGGCTTAAGCTTAATTGCTTAATCAGTCTCATTTATTACAAATAAGATTGCAAAAACAACTTGAATTTATTGCATGTGTATCTATAACATGAACTAATAATAATATAAAATCTAGAATATCCCTTTAAATGTACTAAACTTTAGAATATGAAATATCCCTTTAAATGTACTGAAGTATAGAATATAAAATATTTCTTTAAATGTACAGAACACTGAATTTCCCTGTAAATGTACTCTACTGCAGAACCTAGAATACCTTATAAATGTGATCCATATTCTTCTTTAAACATTTTGTTTGGTACAGTAGAATTTAGAATACCCCTTTAATGTTGTTTTATAGTGCTGTCAAATACTATTTAGAATACCCTTTTGAATGTTGCATTGTAGAAACTTTCAAATGATTGTGCTGTATAGAATAGTCTACATACACATATGGTGCTGTAGAATATAGAATACGCTTTTTTAAGTGTAATCTACTGCAGAATCTAGAAAAGAATCAAATTTTTAAATGTACTGTAGCATCTAAGATACCTCTTTCAATGTGTGCTGTAGAATATAGAATACCTCTTCCAATATTGTACTATAGAAGGTAGAACATCCCTATAAATGTTGTAACATAGAAAATAGAATATATTAAACGCACTGTACTACATTGTATGAGTAGAATCTAGAATATGCCTGAATGTACTTCAATGCAGAATCTAGAATACGCTCCTTTAAATGTTTAAATGTTGTACAGTAGAATTTAGAATAAACCTCTAATTAATGTATTGTATTGTAGCATGTAGTTTGCGCCCCTTCAAATACTCTCTACTTCAAATCTGTAGAATACCACAAGTGTGTAATTTTGTTGTTTATTTATAATTATATAATACAAAAGAATATAGTATAGTCAATGTTTTTGTGCATGCTCTCTGATGTCACTACATGCATGTTGTAAAATGAATGGTTGTCTGTAAACTTCTGCATGAACCTTGTTCCAAATTAATCCGGGTTTTACTGTTTTGTTTTGTTTAGAACCTGGAATGTTGTTTTGTATCACAGGTAAATAGTTGTTTCATATGCATGTATTTTTCTTATTATAGGTATTAACACGTTATATTTTCATTGCGGTTTTCTTGGGCTCAGTACGGACTCCAAAAGTACGCATTTTCTTTTAGTTTTAAGGCGTATGAGGATTTTATATGTACGCAATGACGATATAACGTGTTTATTATAGTCTATTTTGTATTCTAAAATGTTGCAATTTTATATACTATGTTCCTATTCTGAATTCTAATATCAAAATTGGGACAACTTGTGACTGACAGACTGCAGTATTGAAAGTATACCTCAAGAAAAAACATAAAATATGTTTATAAAATTAGGTAGGCCAAGCTGTACTGTATTCTTGCTAAAAAAAGAAAGAAAGGAAATTCACCCAATTGCGTGTGAGCCAAGCGACAACGTGACATTAAAATGGTGCCAATGATTTGTTGAATTCAAGCAAGGTGCAAAAATAAACAGACCAGAAATACAAGACCCTTCAAACCCCTCATCAAATAGTCCAACTTTTTACCACCGGAGTTATTTCTCACATTAATTCTGACATAACTACTCTGTGCGTGTTTGAAGCAAATCAGGTGTAATTCATTGATAGACATTATGTCCATATGAAAGATTTGTTCGGTTAAATGCTACACATTATCACGGGGAAATTCTGTGGAGTGAAACATTAGATAAACTAGTAGAAAGTAGTTGTAAGATGGAAACCTTAAAATTCTTTTGAACCAAAAACTGCCATGTTGATACACTTATACATGTTTCTCCCCTCTCCCACTATGGTCACAGATTAACCAGCCCAAGAGTTAGAATTAGCCAGCCAACCTACAGATAAACCTGTCCACGGTCACCTCAATTTTGTTCTTGATTTATGGTTTTAAATTGTTTTTAATTTAAAAAAAATGTATACATTGATACATGTCTTCCATTAGCTACTGAAAATGTTGTTGAACTTTAAATGCATTACAAAACCACAAAAATACCTACAAAGTCAAGCTACAAAATGTGTTTCATTCTATTTTTACTAATAATTTGCTCCAAATGCAATAAAAATAGCCTAAAAGTTGATAAACCGCTGACTGTAGTGAGTGGCCTAGTATGCATATTAATTCCAGTCTGTATTTCAAGTAAATATAAGTTAAGCCCACATGCCTAGTTTGGTAATAAATCCAAGTGGGATATAAGGAGGAAAATAGTGTTGAAAATGCTTCAACTTCACACTAACAGCACTTTAAAATTGTGTACTCTAGTTGGATGTAATTGCCAACACAGTGCATATATAAGCAAATGACTGCTTGTAACGCTAGTCAATGTTATGGTAGATGTCACGTAGGAACGTTGGAAATAACTATCACACAGGCAAGTGGAAAGCGTAGCAAACATCTCTGTAGTGTGGTATATTCTAGACTTGAATTTTGTTGCATTATTTATTTGCTTGGATATTCAGACTTAGAAACCAATCCAACATTCTTTCTACTGGATTCTTTTTGGAGTGAATCTGATTTTGTATTTAATTTTTAAATAGCACATGCTCCTGCAGAAAAGGATAACCAACTTGCAGACACATCATCCGAGGTAACAGAATCGACATCAGAAGCGATACATACTACGCTGGATGAAGCAGTGGCACAAGAGACACCAGTACCAGAAGAAGAAGAAGCGGTAGCACCAGACACAAAGGCAGAAGAGCTAAAAGAATCCACTAAAGAAGTAAAGCCTGAGGAAGTTACTAACAAAGAGGAGTCACAACCCGAGGTTTCTGCCAACGAAGTAAAACCAAAATTATCGGTTGACGTTGCAAAAAGGCAGTTGTCCTCTGGAAGTAACGGCCAGAAGTCACCAACTCCTCAGAGCCCCAGGCACAAGTCTGCTAGTGGTATTCCAAGACTCTCTGCAAGACCAAAGTCTGCCGGAAGTCAAGAAGAACCACCAAGTCCTAAGGTAATGATAATGATTTTGATATTTTTTGACAATTATTTTGAATTTACTCGGCACAATCCAATTCCCGTTAAGAAAAATCTGACACATTCGCAAATATTTTAAATTGATACATCCAAGAAGCTTGTTCACTTAGTTTTGTCTTCACGTCTTGACTATAGTAATGCACTTCTCTACGGCTTGCTACATAACATAAACACCTTCATCACCTTCAGCTTGTCCAGAACACAGCTGCGAGAATTGTCACGTTCACCAAGAAGCGAGAACGTATAAGCCCTGTTCTTAAAAACTACATTGGCTTGAAATCAATGAATGCATATCTTTTAAGATATTGCTTATAACATGTATGGCACTCAATGGGGTTGCCCCTAAATACATTTCAAATCTCCACCCATCTAAATCTACTCTTTGCCTTCTTAGATCATCAAACAAGCACCTTCTTGAGCAAGGTAGGTGGAGATATAAAAACCTCGGAGTAAATGTACATTCTCATGTGCCACCCCTACATTATGGAATGCCCTACCTCTTGAGATCAAAATCTTATCTTCTGTCGGTATTTTAAAAAAAGAGTTTTTTGACACACATGTAAATGTGTTTTTATTTTTGTAACCTTACAATAGTATATAATATTGTTAATTAACTACTGAGCTTAATGTGTTCTTTGAGTAGAGTATCATACCATTGTCATAGCACCACTGAACATTGCATTCTGCAATTTTATTGGCTTTATACAAATCCTTGTTGATTGATTAATACAGTAGATTAAAGAGGCATTTATTTGACAATTTATGGTACTTTGCAAAACTGAATTCATAGTTTTCAATTGAAACTGAATATATTCCTCATCTATGATGCAGTAATGTAATTTATACATGCTCTGCACAGACACATAACCTGGCTAGTGAATAACTAAAAGCTTTTTTTAGTAAAGGTCTAAACAAATTTATTTCTTTTATCAGTATCTCGTTGTAACTTATAAAACTACTTAAATCACACAAATCAATAGTGATGTACTGTAGTATTCACAAAACAGACAATAAAATTTGATGTTTAAATAATTAAATTTTTCAGATTTATCACAGACAGTTATCTACTTTGGAAAAAAGTAAAAAATCTATTGTGATCTCAAAATCTTTATATAACATGACCCTGAAGCCTATTTAATTGAGTAACTAATGAGATATATTCATATTTTCTTCCCGTTATATTGTTATTATTTAACAGGAGGGACCAGCCAAAGTTAACTCGCCAAGGTCAAGTCCTGTAAAAGTAAGAAAGACTCAATGAAATTTTCATAGCTGAACATTATATACATCATTTTTCTACTATGGTAGCTGTATAAGCAAACACACATCAAAACATCCAAATACAAAACATCTATTGTTGTTTTACAGTACTTTGCATTTTAATTTGTTTATATTGTTACTTGTAATATATATCTATATTGTAGCTTTGTATTTAAATAAATCGGAAGATTATTCCAACTGCTGAAAGTTGCTTTCCACGATGTACATACGGCGAACAAATTGACTGCGCATGCGCGAAGTAGAAAACATTCAGACTCAATCCATGTTCACAGATAGCTATTTGTAACATGTTGGGTGAAATAATTATTATCAATTACATCATAATTCATCCCCCACTACATCTCCAATCTATTTTCACTGCGTTCTGCTGTTTGCACTCACACACTTAGGTCTACCTCAACTTCATCTACCATTCCTAACTGTCCTATTGGTCACCTTAAAACTTGTGGTGATCATTTCTATATTGTTGCTGCTCCAAAGCTTTGGAACCAACTACCTGAGACTGTGTGACTCTCCATCTTTGACTGTCTTCAAGTCTCGGCTCATATCCCATCTTTCTCTTTATTTCAATTCTGAACTTTTGTTTTCTTCCTATTTTTGTGCACTCTTTCAGCATATAGCGATGTTTTTGTAATGCACTTTACAAGTACATAGCAATTCCCATTAAAATAGCTCATAAATATCCATACTATAATTACTGTTAAATCCATTATTGAATCATATCACACTACATTAACAAATGATATTTTTTTATGTACGACACCCCCCTGAAGACCCTAAGGGGTACTTTGCGACTTTGCATGATCATTGGACCTTCCAACTGATTCAATCTACAAAATTGGCCCCTGTCATAATATTGTTGAGAACCCCTTTTCTAAGACTTAAATTATTGTGGTGTAGGCCTATATACAAATTTGTTATTTGTATTGTAATTACAATTTCTTGTTTTTACAGAAAATGCCTTCAGCACAAACTACAAAAATGAAGGCTCCTAAATCACCAAGAAAAATAGGTATGTTTGGTAGAAGTGTCCCTGGATCGATTGACTGCTGGTTATCTGTTATATGTCAGATCCCTCATTGTGATTTTAGATTTGAACAAAATAAGAAACAAAAGAGTAATATGTGATTTGTTTCAAATTGCCATAAGATATTAAAAGAGTGTAACTGCATTTGATGTTTTATTTATCTGTTGTTTAGAATCTCCACGACGAGAACCACCATCTAAAGCAAAGGTCGGAGAATGCCCCAAGCCTAACGTAAAGGCAAAATCAAAGGTCGGTTCAACAGCAAACATAAAGCACGTACCGGGTGGAGGAAACGTAAGCAGATTGACATCAAAATCATGATGGTGTCATCATTTTATCTATTTTTAACTAATTCTGAAGTTAAGCGCTTTCTTAAAGGCTGTACGACAAGTGAATATTAGTCTTCTAATTATTCAAATAACAAAAAAGAACAGAAATTTTAATTATATTAGAAAATCATAATAACTGTCATCATCATCTGCTACACCACCATATTCACCTCCAACAATATTGCCACCACCAGCCACCATAATCACCACTGTCATCACCATAGTTGCCACCACGACCATCATTTAAATTATATCTTTATTTTGTAATTAACTACCTGTACCATATTTTACAGGTGAAAATAACAGATGCGAAGCAAGACTTCAAACAAGTCCAATCGAAATGCGGTTCCAAAGCCAACATCAAGCATAAGCCAGGTAATGAAAAATAACTTTCTCTATCATTATGATATACCATGAAAAGAACAATTAGAGCTCTGCATCTGTTTCAAATGCCGGCTGTCAGGCAGGCACTCAAAAACCATCAACAAGGTTTTATTATAATTTTATTTATTTTTTAATCATTTAAATATTTAATCCAATATATAACCTGACACGACTTGTATAGGCTTTTGTATTCTATATTCTAATTGATTTGCTCTCTGCATGCTAATACACAGGTGGTGGCAACGTAAAAGTAGAGACCAAAAAACTGGACTTCAGTTCAGCGCAATCAAAGTGTGGCTCACTAGATAATGCTAAGCACAAACCTAGTGGTGGCAAAGTACAGGTATGTAAACTATACCAAAAATACTTTTTCTCTAATAACTATATAATGAACATTATATCAAATTAATCAATCTATTTATCACTCACTCACTCAATACTGAATATGCTTCATATAGGGAAATTTTAAGTGCAAATATAAAACTATCATGATCATGTGTGGTACCGTTAGTTAAGAAAAATAATAAACAGCTTTCAAGTTAAAAAAACAAATTATAAGTTGTAAATTCCCTGTAAATCCAATATCTCAATAAAGTAAATAGACAGAGAAATCAAGATTTGTGGTAAGTGTGAACAGGGCCTCGACAACTAGAAATCTTTTAATAATGTGTAAAAAACACTACGAGTGTCATGTAATTAGATGAGGTTTGGACAATGGTTGGATTGACTAATGCAGGATTAGTCCTACATGCCTCTCTGTTCTCTCTACATTTGCCACTTGTTTAATATGCTTGTTTGTATATTAAAATAATTCATTACAGACATAGTAGATTCACATTGTTTAGTGGAATGTATTCATTTTATAATTTTTTTTTCTTTTCTTTTTTATTTGTCCACCTTTTTCTAATAGATATTTAATGCTTCACTTGACTTTTCAAAGAAGGCAAAAAGTAAAACAGGTTCCCTGGATAACGCCAACTATACCCCAAGAGGGAGTAATGTTAAGGTATCGCTTTTTAAAAGTGTCTTATGCGAGTGCTGGCTTAAGTTGTATTGGTAGCTTTCCTTAAGCTTTGCTTCCAGTGGCTGAATTCAATTCAATTTTAAAGATCTTAATCCACAAAGTTCTACAGTATATAAATATGGACAAGGAATTTTATCTACGCTTGTCTCTATCCACCGAGAAGTATAAGTGGGTACCTGGTATGATCTAATACCAAGCACTGATTTTAGCCGCTTATGGAATTTTTCTTTCCAAGGAGCTCTGGATGTGTTCCATAGATGTTTGATACAGAAACCGGGATAATAATGTAAAGCGCACAGAGGCAGTTTATTGTAATATGTGCTATATAAATATCGCATTATTATTATTACTATTATTAATATTAGATTGATATCACTAACATACACCAAATACATTAATTGAAAAGTATATATTTTTTAATTGAAATAGTGTTTTTTTTTGTTTGTTTTTGTTTATTTTCATTTTCTTAATAGATATTTAACGCTTCAGTTGACTTTTCAAAGAGGGCTAAAAGTAGAACAGGTTCCATGGATAATGCCCACTATACCCCAAGAGAGAGTGGTGTTAAGGTATCAATTTTTAAAAGTGTTTTTTCCGAGTGTTTGGCTTCAGTTTCTGTATCATTCGCTTTCTTCAGACTTTACCAGTGGCTGTCTCAAGACTTGCTGCTGAGTACGCTTTTGCTAATGACATAAATTGATTTTTATTTCTGGGTGGCTTATGCTAAAATATTTCTATCCTGGGATTGAATTTTATTCATTTTGTCTTAATTGTTATGAAAAAAAATCTTAAAAACAGGAAAAATCGATTTTGTGGAATGATGTGATGCTGTGAGTTATTAGTTATTCACCTATCTTTACCCTTTACTTAATCACCAAATCAAAAGAACTGTTTTCTCAAAAAGTAGTTTTGGTAATTATCAGCAACACATAGTGTCAAAAAGGGAGTGTTTGGGATTCAAATTTGGTCAGTTGAAGTATAAACTGAAATACTGCTGTTTCTTACAGTAAGGCCTATGACAAAGACATGACTACTTTACATCCAACAATGCTCATTTCTTACATTTAAAACTCCTGTCAGGAGCCTTTTATATTGGCAAATAATACCGGCTAATCCATCTATGAGACAAGATGGTTATTAAAGTGCAATGAGGTTCTCATATACAGTACTAATACATTTTTTTTATTGGATTTATTCAAATACAATGCAAAGAAGTGAAAAACTTGGTGTTCTGAAAAGTAAATATTTTTGTTTTTATATTTAGTTTATCCTTTTTTTTTTTGTTTACCTTTCCTTACTAGATAATTCATGATCCAATTGACTTTTCAAAGAGGGCAAAAAGTAGAACAGGTTCCATGGATAATGCCAACTATACCCCAAAAGAGAGTGGTGTTAAGGTATCGATTTTTAAAAGTGTCTTTTCTGAGTGTTTGGCTTCAGTTTCTGTATCATTCGCTTTCTTTAGACCTTACTTCTAGAAGTCGTCTCGATACTTGCTGCCGAGTACGCTTAGCTAATTACATAAATTGATTTCTATTTCTGGGCGGCTTGTGCTAAAATATTCCTATCCTGAGATTGGATTTTATTAATTTTGTGTTAATTGTTATGAAAAAAAATTTGAAAAATTGGGAAAACCAATGTTGTGGAACAATGTGATGCTCCAAGCTAAGAGTTATTCTCCTATATTTACCCTTTACCCTATCAACCAATCAAAAGAAACTTACTTATTCAGTGTTCTCTCAATAAGTAAAGTAGTTCCGTTAATTAATGTGTTACAGTTAGTGTTAAACAAGGGGGTGGGGGATTGAAATATGGTAAGTTGAAATATAAATTGATATCTGTTTCTCATGTTGGTTTACCACTGAAGAATATAATTACTTTGAAACTGAACGATGCTTATTTCTTTTATTTCTTACTCTGGTCAGAATCCTTATATGTGGGAAATAATACCAACAAATTCATCTTTGATAGAAAACGATAATGATAGTGCAGTGAGAGTCTTATATTCTAATATTTTTTTGTTTGGGTTGATTTAAATACACTGAAAGAAATGAAATGAAAAACTTTGTGTTACTGAAAAACAATATTTTTATTTCTAAATTTAGTTTATCCTGTTGTTTTTTGTTTACATTTTCTTACCAGATAATTCATGCTCCACTTAACTTTTCAAAGCGGGCAAAAAGTAGAACAGGTTCCCTGGATAACGCCAAATATACCCCAAGAGGGGGAAATGTTAAGGTATCCGCTTCTAAAGTATATATTCTGATTGTTTGGCTTGAGTTGTATCGCTTTCTTTAGACTTTACTAGTTTCTAGACTTGCCGCTGAGTATGCTTTTGCAGATGACATAAATGGAATTCTATTTTTAGGTGGCTTACGCTTATATAATTCATACATCCCTAAAAAGAAAATAATAAAAACTACATTTATAAAGCAGTTAAGAGGCTTTTCATTGGTTAGATGTAACAGTGTAAAAGTAAAAGTGAAAAATTTTGGTTTATAGTTTCTTTTTCTTTTCTTTTTTTTTTTGTTTTTTTGTTTTCCTTTTCCTAACAGATATTTAATGCTTCACTTGACTTTTCAAAGACGGCAAAAAGTAAAACAGGTTCCCTGGATAACGCCAACTATACCCCAAGAGGGAGTAATGTTAAGGTGTCACTTTTTAATAATAAACAGCTTTCAAGTTAAAAAAACAAATTATAAGTTGTAAATTTTCCTGTAAATCCAATATCTAAATAAAGTAAATAAACAGAGAAATCAAGATTTGTGGTAAGTGTGAACAGGGCCTCGACAACTAGAAATCTTTTAATAATGTGTAAACAACACTATGAGTGTCATGTAGTTAGATGAGGTTTGGACAATGGTTGGATTGACTAATGCAGGATTAGTCCTACATGCCTCTCTGTTCTCTCTACATTTGCCACTTGTTTAATATGCTTGTTTGTATATTAAAATAATTCATTACAGACATAGTAGATTCACATTGTTTAGTGGAATGTATTCATTTTATAATTTTTTTTTCTTTTCTTTTTTATTTGTCCACCTTTTTCTAATAGATATTTAATGCTTCACTTGACTTTTCAAAGAAGGCAAAAAGTAAAACAGGTTCCCTGGATAACGCCAACTATACCCCAAAAGGGAGTAATGTTAAGGTGTCACTTTTTAAAAGTGTCTTATGCGAGTGTTTGGTTTAAGTTGTTTCGCTCGCTTTCTTTTGGACTTCACTTCCAGTGGCTGACTACAATTTGCTACATTGTTTGTTGTAAATAATTAATATGCTTTTGTTATCTGACATAAATTCAATCGTATTTTAGGGGTGACTCCCTTTAAAAAAAATCCTAACATCTATTCTGAAATTGTCATAACATGACAATCTTAGGATCTGTTCATTTTTATATATTATATAAATACAGGTCTCTCTCTAATTAAAGACCACTTTCCTCAGCCCCAAATGAATGGATTCTATAAAAAAAAAAATTCTAATGAAAGACCACAGCTGCTAAAGACCACTGCATAACAAACCCTAGTTCCAAAAGTGGTCTTTAACAGGAAGACCTGTATATATATATTTGGCCGTTACGAAGAAAATAAAATTCTGAAGAATGAGCACCAACCAAATTGAACTTAATATCACTATGAATTCATTGATTTATTACTTTTTTACAGACTATTTAATTTATCACTATGACCATTTAAAATTATTTTCATTTACCCTCCAACATGGCTTCATTTACCACCACCTTCATTCCTTTAATTGTCAGTGGTTAATGCCCCTGTAATCCTGTAACACATAATTATAATATTCAGAATGGTTTTGGGATTGAGTTCACTTGATGGAACTAAAAACAATCTACGTAATGTGTTAAGAATATGAATATTTAAAAATAAATTAGGAAATAAATTATTTTGCAGTAATTGAATATTCAAGTATATAATTTTCACACATACATTTTATAAATATGTACTTCTATGTGGTTTTTCAAAGTTTCTCATGGTTTTTTAACAAAATTAATAAATATTTATGTTCATCGTGTTTTCAGGAATCATGAATATGTGATCTAAATCAGACTAACTGCTTTCTGCTACAATTGTACTGTTGATTATTTGAAATTAATTTGTTACGGGAATTTATGCAAAGATTGAATCTGTTGACGACTATTAAGTTTAATTATTTATTTCATTACTTATGCATTTGTGATTGCAATCACCCTTGACCCAACCTCAAAGGCCATGTGCATGAACAGCATGATCAATAATTAAATATGCATATCAATACAGATAATTTATATTAAATTTTACAATTATATATTTTACCTCTCTCCTATTTCAAACAATACAACATATTGCAGTGCCAATTATGGTAATATACCAACGCTCTGTTTACAAATTGTGTACAGCCAATTTAGACGAAATGTATTTTTAATGACATAGAACATTATTATAGGATGTAGGTCAGAGTGTCCTACGAAGTGGATATCTTCGTAAACAACAAGCAATATCGCAAATCAGCTGCTGCGCTCACTAACTTCAAAATACGTAAAGCAAATGCATGGGCAATGATACCTCTATTTTATGATAATGCATCATGTGTAATGCATTGTCCTAGCACTTTGACTTTCCTAAATCACATATTTTACTGTGTATAAACTGCTAAATTTAGAATAGAAGTAAACTCCATGAAACAAAATGTTACATTTAGAAGGTGACTTCATATCTAACAATTAGAAAAAAGTGCAACCACAAAAAGGAGAATTTAGCAATGTTTAACAGACTGTGTTTCTGACCACCTGTTTTCCATATACACCAAATGTTATGTAGGGAAGTAAACAACAAATTATGTGGGATTTTTCTTCGAGTTAACATCTATACTTGCATATCTGAATGTTTCTTTAGATTATAAACACAAAACTAGATTTTGGAAAGCGTGCCAAAAGCAAAGTTGGCTCAAAGCAGAACATACGGCATACCCCTGGCGGCGGTAAAACCAAGGTATACCATTCATAAAAGGTTGCACGCTCATTGCTCATCTGATCGTCTTGTATAAGATTGGTGGTGGCATGTGATCAGGATTTTACTAGCACAGACTATGAATTTAGATTAAAAATTGCCTGCTATTCTTAGAAACTAATAATACAATAAGCAGAGCCATGTCCATCCTTTGCCTAACTCTATGGCCTAACTTTGCAGAAGCAAGCTCCCTCGCATGATAACATCACGTTTTTAAGGTTCTTGCTTTTAAGAACCACTATATATAAAATACAGCATAATTAGAGTGTAGGTTGGTTGATTGAGGTGCAATCCTGAGTACTGTCTTTTAATCCTAACAATTTTTCGTTACAAATATCAGTGGCAAATCCAGAAATTTGAAATAATAGGGGTCTGAGGGGGACTTTTATTACAGACAGAGGGTCCAGACCTACTTAGCTCCATCATGGTTGTAGCTGGGATAACAGAATGGCACTCTACTAAGACTTAAATTTGAATGCATTTTTAAAATTTTTTTTCACATTTCAGCTATCCCATCCTCTGACCCTTCCCCTAAACACAGCTCTACTTCCTAAATGCCTTAATAGCTTTGGAGAACAATAATTAAATAAATAAAATTTTTAAATTATCAAAATGTTTTAAAATATTTCAATTCATTGCAGTCTCAGCCTGAATAGATTTATTTATTGTTTCCACCATCATAGAAAAATTTTGAATATTTAATTTAATTATAAACATGATGCATACAGCAAATGCATAAAAGATGCGATTCATGTATCCCGATTAGATTTATCTTCGTTCATGTGCGAATAATCTATTAATGGACACAATGTTCGAATGCAGGTTTAGACGACAAGCCCGGTGGTGCTAGAAAATCATGAATATATCAACCGTGAACGAAAATCAATGCTCAACTAGGCTTAGATACTTATATAGGATGATGGAGCATGAAAATCACAGCACACGTACAGTATGATGATGCATGTCTGTACAATCTAGTGTGACGTTGCTAAGTGAGAAGACAGGTACTCACTGGAAGATGGATAGAGAGGCAGACAGAAAAATGGATGGATATTAAATGGATGGATATTAAATGGATAGAAAGATAAACAGATGATAAACAGAGAGACAGATGGATGTATGGTTGCGACACAATTTATTTAAACTAGCAAATACTTTCTACTCGAAGGCTTTATCAAGATAAAATACAGAAACAGGCAGAATTAAAAATTTTATGGGCTCCAGAAATCACAATAAATAATGAATAACATATATATATATATATATAACAGATTGTGATAGTCAATGGGAGCTAGTTAATTATTAGACAAATATAACCATATTATTCAAAGTTTGCAAGGGAGTAAAAATTTAAGGATATAGAAACAATTGACAGATAATATGTCGAGGTGACCTCTACAAAGGTCATAGCCTAGTGGTAGAGTAAAAATTATTGTGGGCTATGGGTTCAAATCCCAGTACACGTAACATATTTCACAAAAGTTAAGCTCTTAGATTGTACGTTTCTCTAAAATCCTAAATTGATGTAGTACGAATTAAAGTACCTGCTTAACATTCACAGCTATATGTGCGTGTACACATGTTGTATGTGTAATGAATGTAGCAATGAATTTAAGACATTTTTATGAGATTTTCACAGTCACTGAACTTATAAATTACTGCTATCTTATATTATATGATTGTTGTTGTTCTGACACTTGTATCCTTGGCCATTGCTATTGCCACTGGCTTATTTTTTCATACACTGTTTAGCAAACCCCTGCTGGCCGATGTTAATGATTTCAAATAAAAATAATTTTTTTTTTTTTGGCCTGATTAGTATACCCACTGTGAAGTTGAATAGCTTAGCAGTTAAGATGCTTGCCTTCTAATCCCAGGGTCCTGGGTTCAATTCCTGTCTCAGCAGGACATTTTCTCACGACTTAAAACAACTCCACTTCTTAAGCCTCATAAAGAGAATTGGTTTTAAAGCATTGTTCCATCCTGTTGGATGTGAAGAACAAAATTATTTTTATTACACCATGGAGGAATTAGTCCTACCACCATATCTTGCAATAAAACATCTATTTTTTTCTCACAATAAAGAAATAAAGCATTGATTAATAATCCAATTACTGAACTGATTCAATTGCAATTACAAGGGCCTATTACTCTTAACCTCATACACTCAATAATTTCTTTTTCTTTAATCTTTCAAAAAAACAGTTCGCTAACCAATGTATAAAAAAAGTCTTGCCAGATCTTGTATGCCAGGTAGATAAATTCTTAGCATTAGTTCATTGCCATCTTGCTTGGGCATACGTGCCAACCAGGTGAAGTCTTTGAACCTGTAGTACCATCTGGCTGGCTATGCGTGACTACCCACTACCCTTAATATTCACACCAAAATACACTCACACATAATTTACGCACACATATAATGTATGCATAATGAATGTAACAATGAGTTTAAGATACTGAGTTTCTAGAGTCAATGAACTTCTGATTAGGGCATGTAGCCTGTTTTAATGCATTCTGGCTTTAGAAGAACTATGTTCCTGACAGCAGCATCTTTTTTACCTTATGCCATCTGGCTTACTATTATACCAGAGAGCTAAATACAGTATTCGGCCAGTGCTTATATGTGAGCATGTAGGAGACTAGAAACATTTATTCAGTATTAGGTATTTTCTAGTTTAAGAAATGAGAATATTTACAAAAATTATATACTTATAATACTTTTGGGAAATATTAATAACAATAATAATGATAACATTAGTTATTAATATCATCACCCAGTGAGTATTTTTCTGATTGCCATACACGAAATGAAAATTTTCCAAAATGTTTCAACACCAGATGTAAATAAATCTAACAAGACCAAATCCTGAATTTTTGCATCAAACAGTAACATTTCTATTTGCTGTTTAAATGTATTCACATTTTCTGCAACGATATCTTGTAAAACACGACCAAGTATAGGCGATTGCAAAAAGGTCACCAATTGGAACATAAAATCATTTGTTCCAAAATATCACCTTGTATGCAATATATAATTTGTACTTCTGGGAAAATAATTACATTCAGAGTTACATACAATTATCATATATGTAGATAATAACATCATGCATAGACTATAATCCAAGAGGTCATGACCTCAAATAATAAATACTAGTCTAATTATGAAAGTAAATGTACTAACATATCAAATTGACTTTAGGGCTATAAGCTGGGGGACAGGAGTATGGGAGTTTGGGGCAGTAGACTATCTGCCTATAGGTGGCTATCAAGGGAAATGGGGGCTAGGAGCTAATACGCACATGTCATGTTCCCAAAGAGATGCTGTTTAATATACTATTTAAGTGACACCTGCTTTTACTATTTATTTATGAAAGCTTTGTGAAGTATGCAACTAACACTAACAATACTAGGGTTCTCACCTGCACACTATTTAACTCTCAACAGTTTTTATTTTTTTGTGGAGGGAATGTTGTTGAAATCTGGCTACCATCATAATTGAGGGATACCACGTTTCCCACATACATATTCAAAAAAGTGAAACTTTAATGATAAGAATGGATAGATGAATAGAGAGGAGGTTTAGAGAATGGGTTAGAACAGGCCTATTTAAGATTTGTCAATACTCTCTACAATGATGTACAAATACAATACTCTATATACAGCTGAGTCCCATAAGCCCCTATAAAATATCGAGTGAACAGATATTTTTAACCATTTCATTAGACATCTTAGTAGTAGGATGCCCTCTACCATTCATGCATGGAGGTCAATTACTGAGAACCTATAGAGTACTATGTCACTATTCCACTGTAACATGTGACACTGCTTCATTACCTAGTTAAAGTACTGTACCTACCAAGCAGTTGTTATGGCTGAGCCACAGTTTATCATAGCTTTTTTGTCTGTATGTATCAGCCTAAGCCTGTTTATTTTAGTTTCTATTTATTCGCATGAGTCGAAAGCGTCGGTTCATGCACATTCATATTCACATTACTATTGGAGTTTTCACTTCAACGAAATCGGTAGTCTGAACTGTACGAAGCGAAAAAAAGTGCGCAACCAATCTGAGCTTGGGATCCGAACCAATGTCTTTGATTTGCCTAGTGAAAAACAGGCTTTATAATTGCCTATTAAAACCCTGATTAACACAGAAATTTGGCATAACCTATCTTACGAATATTTAAGTACGTATACAGACAGTTGAAAGGGCTACGTAAACTGTAACTTAGCGGTATCAAACGCTTGGGTAGTGTTCCTTAGTAATGAAGGGGTGTCACATGGTGACATAGTAATGTAACATCAACCACGCAGAACTCTATAACGCAAGAATGTCTGCATGTAGCACATCATATCACAAATTAACCATCACTTTTCTTTTTCCTCATTTTATTTTCGCTGTGTTAGATCGAGAACCATAAAGTTGACTTCTCGGGAAAAGCAGAGAGTAAAGTTGGCTCTATGGCCAATGTAAAATACACTCCACAGGGTGGCAATGTTAAGGTATTGCTTGCCTAGGATTGGTAATGTAACTGATGTATTTATCTTTTCTCCCTTCTCTTATATTTTAATCATATCTGTTTTTGTCAACAGCAATCAATCCTCGTCATTTAAGCCAGAGCAAATGAACCAAACTGTGGCAGCATTATGATTACTTTTTATTAATAATTCCTCTCACTATCTCCTGAAAATGCTGCAAATTCAATGTGAAATAGGAAATTATAATTATTTGGTATACGATTTCCAATTTCGTATGGACAGATACACTAAAATTAAGAATATTAGCAGTATATATATATATATATATATAAGTAATAATAGTAATAATAATAAATATAGAGTTATGATAATGAGAGTGATGATAATGATAATGATGATGATAATGTAGATGATAATAACAATAATGAATAATTTAAAATAACACTAAAGAACAATAACATTGAGATTGATAATGGTAATATACTGTTGTTACAACAATAACAGTAGGGATAGCAATGTTAATATAGATAGTGATAATAATGATAATGATTATAACATATAATACACACTTACTTTTAACATATGAGGGCACTGTTGGAAATACTACCCAAAAGGAGCCATTATTAACTGAAAACAATTGTCTGAAGCAGTTCCGGGGGTTGAAGGCAATTTTTTTTTTTTCCCACAGTGCCCAAAATAACTTCTTTCTTGTTCGCCAACACCTTTTATAAAACGTACATAATTCGGTTTAAAGTGCAAACAGGCACTGCGCAATATGTGCTATATAAATATAAATTATTATTTGATGAAGGGTAGTTAGTCCTAGGCTCATCACATGCTCTTGGCAATGTGATGTGATAGCAACAAGGTGTGTTTAAGCTTTTTGCACACAAGCGGCAAAACATATTGATTTTTAATCATATCTGTTTTTGTCAACAGCAATAACTCCTTGTCATTTAAGCCAGAGCAAATGCACTACAACAAATTAATGTTCAGTTGAATATAGGAAAATTATGTGGAATGTAAAATGATGATGTCACGATTGACTTATAATAGATAACAACAAAACAAAAACAATAATAATTATATAAATAATAATACCCAGTAGGAAAAATATTGATAGGATAGCTTTTGAAAATGATTATAATTAAAAAAAAACAAATAACTATAAAAATTATATGGATAATAACACTAGGTATAATATTAATAGCAATAATAATAATAATGATAATTGATAGTGATAATAATAACAATAATAAATATGAGTATATTATTATGATACTGCTTGTATCTGTATAAAATTTGCTCATGGAAAACTGAAAATGGCTGCCATTGTGTTATACTAAAATTAATTCTATTGCTAAAGTTCCGTCCCTTTTTTCCTGCTGTGTATTATTTAGGTTCTGAATCAAAAAGTGGACTTCAAAGAGAAAGCACAGAGTAAAATAGGGTCACTAGATAATACCAAGCACACGCCAGGAGGGGGGAAAGTCAAGGTAAATAAATAAGGGGATGAGGTATTTCTGTTTAATTTATGTTGTCCTATACTTTGAATACACTTTTTTCATCATTATATCTTTTCCTTACTTCTTTTTAAAATAATTACAATAAATATTGTATCCAAGTAATTTATTAATGCATCTTGATTGAATTGAATTTCAGATTGAAAACCGCAAATTAGATTTTAGCAAAGCAACGTCGAAAGTAGGTTCAAAGGATAACATAAAGTACAAGCCAGGTGGTGGTGATGTGCAGATTGTTGACGAGCAGGTTAGCTTCAAAGCAGAAGCTAAGATCGGGTCAAAGGTCAATTTGAAGCACCAGCCCGGTGGTGGAGATGTTCAAATCACTGACGAGCATCTACAATTCAAACAAAAAGCTGCTCCTAAAGTCGGGTCAAAGGCCAACATTAAGCACAAACCTGGTGGTGGTGACATCGAAATACTTGATGAACGTTTGTCTTTCAAGGAAACAGCAGCACCAAAGGTCGGGTCAAAGGCCAACATTAAGTATCAGCCAGGAGGTGGGAATATCCAGGTAGGTTATTGTACTTTGTATTTTGTTTTGATGACACAGTTACTTGTCATCATTTTGACTTCTTCTATGCTTGGTTTTGAGCACAATGGGCCAATTTCTCTCAAATTTACCATGTTTTTCCTTTATTTGTGTCTTCTTTTTTGCTTGCAGATTCTAGATGAGAAGTTGACCTTCAAGGAAAATGCGACCCCAAGGACAGACCACGGGATGGTGGTTGAAGAGGAAGTTGCAGAATGAGAAAATAAAAACAGTTTTACTAAAAAGACATGGAATAAGCCAGCCATGGTTCATCTCCAAATTTAGATGCACACACAAAAACTGATTAAACTAACAACTTAAGAATCTCTATAGTTACAGTCAGTACTACTGGTTATCTACCTAGTCAAAAAGGCATGCCTCTAGTACCTTGCTATTCAAAGAAAGAAGTATATTGTATGCCACATAGCTTACATCACTGGTGTAGCAATAGCATGTAACAATGTGCCATACAGTAGTATCAGATATATTTTGTGATGCCTGTACAACATAAAATGTAGCATGTAGGTAAAATACAATAAAACAATGCCACATAGCTAACATTATAGGTGTAGCATGTATGAAACGTGTCATAATGATAATCAAAATGTTGCATGCTACATTCCATAGATTCATCATAATGTATAGTACTGTAATGTGAAAAAAATAATCAAAAGTTGCATGCCACATATCCTACACCATAAAACATGTGTAGCATGTAACAATTTATTTCATGCTACACATTGTATGCCATAAAATAAATCCAAACTTTGATGTTCCTTACTTCTTAAAGTGTTGTAGCACATCAATAGTATTTATCTGCTATGTAATTATAAAGCTCTAAAATCCTCATTTAATTAAAATGTTATGGGGTAAATAAAAAAATTCATAACTTTCCTATCTATATTTTATACATGAAAAAAATCTGATATATATTCAAACACAAGTTTAATAGAAAAACATAATTCTTGGAATATTATTCGGTATTACTAAAGAATCTCATTCAATATTAAAAACAAACTGTTTAAATGACAGATCCTTGACTGAATATAATGTACAGGCCCAAAATAATATATGATGATAAATTATTTATATAAAGAAAAAATTGATTGAGGAAATGATTGCACTTAAAAAAAACTTTGGATGTAAATAATTAATTAACCAAAACAAATTTTATAAATAAATTGGGTTAAATAAAATTAATAGGATGAAATTTAAAGATCCTGTATATCTTTCTACAAAAAATGTACATTAAAAACATCTTTATTAGAACTGATGTTAAGTAAGTTAATGTTATTTAAAAATTATTAGCAAACACATAATAACATACAAAAATGTACCATTAAAAGATTTAAAAAAAAAGGCTTCATCAGGTGAAGATTCCCATGTTAACATAACATAAATTGATAACGCAATTATGTGAGGTTGGCAAAATAAAGTTTCTAATATCTTTTATGTACAGTACCAAAAATGGACTGTTAAGATTTGTATCAATTAATGTTTAGTAATAATCCAAATTTGTAAATTTATCCGTTTTCCAAACCGTTTTCCATGAATGTAACGATGCAAGGTAGATTTAGTTGGTGCACTACTAAAAACAATTTAACAGCTATAATAACAATCAGTTGTATCTTAAACAATCATCAGTGTTCTATAATTGAAGATCCGTGTTTGTACTAGGCTATCATATTAAACTACAATAATTGTTTCTAATTAGGTGTCTTTGATTTATCATCATAATTAACAAATTTAACTGAAGGTTTTTTAGTTGAAACAGTGTTGATATAAAGAAATCTATACTTCTGATTGCATGGTTAGACTTTTAGAAAACCGTAAATCGCTTGAGGTATGGTCGTACCATATTAGGGAGCTTTTGATTGCACGACAACAGTAAGATGTAGAACATAATGACGTTACTAAAAGTTATCTGCGCATGCGAGAACGTTAAGTTCTCCTCGTTGCGCAGATTCTAGGACGCAATTTGGCCAAATATATGTATGCAGAAAATGTAGGACGCTCGGGAGGACGGTCACGAATGAGTAATTCAGTTCTAGCGCTGCTAAATCAGAAGCTCCCTATTAAGAGATAAGGGGCCTATAATAGTGTACCCAGGTATATGAAGATTTAAGGTAGTTCAACAAAAGATTTGTGGCAATGTGTATGAATATACGTAGTATACTAATGGTATATTTCTTTGATGTTTGTGCTTTAAGAATTCATTATTAAATGTTGCAGATATTAATTTATGAATGAATTTCTTCAATATTGATTTCAAGTCAAGTTGTAAATTTATGTATATGGTTGTTAATAATACAAGTAGTAGATTGTGGAAATAATTATTATGAATTTGAAATTTAAAAAAAAAAAATTGAGTACTGTATTTAATTTGTAAACAAAAAAGAAAAAATCTATAAATGGCTGGTAGAAATTATTAAAGAAATGTAAAGAAACAGAATATAATTTGGAACACGAGTTTTAATTTCAGAAAATCGGAAATGTACTGGTGAACTTTTACCCTATAACATAGAACAGACTAAGAAATGAAAATTGTATGTCATTATAAGTTATTATAAGTATTAATATGTTGTATTTATTGTGTGTGCTTGGCTACTGAAATAATGCATTGTACTTTCGGTAAAAATAATACCTTTTTACACTTCTGAAGAGCACACAATTGAAGTTGTTGGAGTGAATGAAAATGGTCACTACTCTAAATCATTGCAGCATTTTATTTTCAAGGCAAAAAAAGTTTACTGTTTATTCTAGTCTTCATCTGCTAAATATATATTAACTACCGATACCTACAATGGTTGCTTAAATCATTTCAGCGTTTTTATTTTCAAGGCAAAAAAAACTTTACTGTTTATTCTGGTAGTCATCTGCTAAATATAAATTAAATACCGATACCTACAAATGGCTGTTTAAATCATTGCAGCATTTTATTTTCGAGCCAAAAAAACTTTACTGTTTATTCTGGTATTCACCTGCTAAATACATATTAAGCAATGGCTGCTTATTAAAATCCAATTCGCTTTTAGATATTTATACATATATAAGTGTGTTGAAAGCATATCATTATTCATATAAAAATTTATTTATGCATATAAGTGTTTAATTCAGCATTTGCATGTTCATATGTGGGGGAACACTTGGTGTAGTGGTTGCAACAGTCTTAAGGTCGGGAGTTCTATTCCCACTCTAGTGTTTTGTGACCCTATAGAGAGCCAAGTATGCGTTGCAATGGACATTTATTCCACTACTGGATTAATAATGTGACGTGGGCTTTATAGGATTGGAATAATTTTTGTCATAGTTATATTCAGATATGGGTTCTAAAAATTAAAAAAATATTAACCCAATTTATCTTAAACAATTGCATATGAAGAAGATGGATAATATCAAGTAAATGTTATATACCAAATCAAAGCAATGATTCTGGAAATTTACAACGATAATAATTCTCTAAAATTAAAGCAGATTATATTCTTGCCAAGAAATTTTGGAAAAAACGTAATTTTTTACATGTGGCAAATGAGTTCAGATTTTTTTTCCATTTTGAGTTTTGTCAACAGTAGATATACAGTATATGTAATTAGTGTTATATTAACAGATTATCCTGTGTTTTTTGGCAGCTTGTAAATATTATTGGAATTTCTGTGGTGTTTATGGTATGCAAGTTTCTAGTAAATAAATGTGTTGACAGAATGAGCCTGTTTTCTCCAATTGTCTCTTATTTTGCGATTACTGTAGTGACCGACACCGAAGTACTGTATTTTATTAAGACAGATCAAATAATATGATTTAATCATTACTTACAATAATACCATATACAATTTACAATTATCAGATGATCATTATATTACATCACAATCTTTATATATATTTATTTGTTTATTATTTACTTATCAAATAATATCATTGGTTTTCAAATACTGAGATTTAGTAATTCTTCCCACTAAAGATTAAATAAGCATTACAACTTTTGCAAATATTACTACAACTATGGCTATAAGATAACAATTACACTATTAATTACAAACTATAAGGAATTCATTTGTTTATTATTTACTTTGTGATCATATGACACCCTTTTCAAATATTGAATTTACTATTCCTCAAAATAATGAATATGACTTTTGCAACTTGAGCAAATGTTCCTACAGCTATCAACTGATACTACGACGATGACGGTGATATTGATGATGATGATGATAATAATGATGATGATGATGACGACGATGACAGCGATGATGATGTCGATGATGTTGATGGTGATGATATTGATGATGATGATGCTGATGCTCATGATGTTGATGATGATGATGTTGATAATGATGATAAACAAATATGAGATGACCATTATTCACTGGGCTTTAGTTCAGAACATTCCATTACCCTTTTAGTATTACACTCATGTACTGAACTATTATTCTATTTTTATATATTTCAACACACCAGCATGTCTTCTCAAGACATGAACAAAGCCTTTAACATCTTCGTTCACAACAGCCTGCCAACAGATATTCCCATATGTTTTTTTTTTATTATTATATTTTTATACGGAATTTTGAATGTTATATTTTTGTTTTGTTTTGATTCTTTTGAAGAAAAATTTCAGCTACAGTTTGATATAAATATTTTTGTCTAACCTAAATGCTAAACTAAAAACTTTCATAAACATAAATATGGCAGCTTTTCACAATTTCTAATTTTGCACAAGCACACAAAACTTTCGAGAATCAGAATTTTGAACATTTTTGGGTTTTTGCATTTTATAAAGATATACTGAAGAACAATTTCTGCAAAATATCAATCACTAAATCTAACTGAAAAGTAATGTATATTAAAACTATTTTCAAAACACAAATATTAATATTAAACTATTGATTTTGGAATCGTTGGAAGCAGTTCTCTCAAAACCTTCATGGCTGATATCCAAAGAAACTAAATATCATAACTTTGCTCAACCAATTTCCACCAAATAAACACTGCTTACAGAAGAATCCATACAGAATCTAAGAATGCTAACATTTTTCTCGCGAACAGCTTATATTTCCAGAGCCAGTCACAAATATTAGTAAATGCAGTGCAACTTAACCAAGGCCAGTGCACATAGGTGTGATGAGGTGAGTTGTTACCATTCCAAACTGCTGTCATAAATTCACTAACCTTCTAGTACTATTGTCTTTAGTCATCACCTCAATGCTGGTATTGTGAGTGTAAGTAAATCTTCAGCAGCAATTACGTTATCGCATTGGAAAGCATCCTTCGCTTGCTGTAATAATTTGTCTGTTGTCTGTTCATCCCCCTAAAATTAAAAAAAATTAAAATTAAAGCTTATACAGTAACCTATGACATCATCTATAAACTCTTGGGATGAGACTTTTGGGAGTTATTTCCAGACATGATCACTGTGCCTGATAATCATCGACTGACACAATTCTATGAAGAATGCTATGCCAAGATGCTCAAATGGTAGCAGAGTTTGATTCGCCGGTCAACGGTCCTACGACAAAGTACATCCCCGGCTTTCTAATGTAAAAACTAAGATGAACATTTCAGAATCATTAAAAAAAATGTACGTCTATTTCAAACCTTTAACTCGCTATCTTTAGTTTTGTAGCGTTGACTAAAGTGCGTTATTACTAGCTTTTTGGCTCCAACACTACGTGCAAATTCACCAGCCATCTCTGAAAAAAACATTACAATTTTTACAATCTTTATTTTGGTAACAGGAATTGAAAAATATTTTGTGTACACTGTTTACTAGCAGGTACTGTAGGTATGCAGACATTTGTTAGGAAGGAAATTAGAGTTATGAAAGATAAATAAAAGAAAGTAATGACGAATGACACCTAATCAAAGTTAAATTAAAATTTGGCAGCTGATTGGTTTGTTTTGAACTGGTCTTTTTGGCCTTGTGAGAAGGCAATTTTCAAAAATTATACAGTTGATTTATTGGTTGATTTTTAATTTTACTGATTTTTTTTCTGGTGAATTGTTATTAATTCTTACCTGGTGTCGAGTGTCCATTCAACACACATTTCTCCTTCATCTCATTCTCCATAGTGGCTTCATGGACCATCACGTCTACATCCTGAAGAAGAGGAGCAGCTAGGGAAGCATCACATGTATCCCAAAGGAAAGCTACAGGGATACCAATTAAAAAGAACAGAAATGAGCCACATCAGATAGTTTGTCATCATAAATAACTTGGCAGTGCTGTTTCAAAATAATCCTGACAAAATGGTCTATATATATGGTATGATTTGGTATGATTCAAGATTTAAGTGCAGTATATGAAATCTGTTTTTTTGAGGTGGGAATACACAAAATCAATAAATCAATCAACATTTATTTATTTCCACAATTTCAATGACATAAGAATAAATATGGAATAATGATATCAAGTGAAAGTAATAAAAACAAATTGTATGAAAATTACAACATTGTGAAAAAAGGATGCCACAGAAAGAGATGGCTTTTAAACGGGCACCCCTTAAATTATGACAATGTTCAACTAAACAAAGAGTTTTTAAATGGTCTATTTCAAATTCAGAAATCCTCAACCATTTCTGATTTCAAAGCTCAACTAACTAAATACTTGATCGCAAGATACTGATTTGTGTTTTTCTGTTTTTATTTTGAATATTCCTTGTTTTTACAAATTTAGTACCTTTCTTTTTTACAGTACTAAAATTCTGAGTTAATTTTCAAATAAGGATTTTTAAATTTGGTTAACTTTTTAATTTTTTTAATTAAGTTTTTCTTTTGCCTTTACTGTATATTTTGATGATGGAGCAAGGGCAGTTTACTATTTGGGCTCGTGCCTATTCCTTGCTCCTGGCAAGATTGTACTTTTACTTTGCCAAATAAATATTATTATTATTATTACTATAAATCATTATCATTATTAAAAGTAAATTACAACATGAATACCTAGTAGCATTTTTAATTATGAAGTTGTGATGATCCAAAACACATATTTTAAAACGATTAAGATTTTACAGTGCATTTGAACTAATCAGATTAAAAATATAAAATACTCTCATTAGAAGTTATATGTATTTCATGCCAACTGAAATTTCTATAATCTTCTCTAGGGTTATGGTTAGGGGGATTAAACAATACTGCAATTTGAAATTTGTTATTGTTCACCGTTAAGTTTTATTTTGTTATTAATGTGCTCAAACTGAATACATCAAACCAAAACTATTGCGTGTACATTATCTTCAACATGTTGATTTAAAAATACTCTACTTGGGTAAATGTTGGCTTAGAGGTTAACATGCTTACCCTCTAAACCCATGGTCCTAGGTTCAATTCCTATAACAGCATGACTTTTTCTCATGACTAAAAATAACTCTACTCCTTAAGCCTTATAAAGAGACTCCGCTGATAAAAGCATCACATTATTTCATTTAATTAAGAGGGCCCCAGACCTTCTAGGATATGCTGGAAGGGTCATCCTCTATAAAATATGGTTTTTTTAAAAAATGTTTACCAATCTTTCTACCAGCTCTAGGAAGACCAAGCACATCCTCTGGTTTTATAACAGCGCCCTCTGAAGTCGTAATTGATTCACCTTTTTTTAGTTGGCCATATAAAGGTCCAGCTGGAACACCTAGCTCTTTTAATCGCTTTACATCTAGCCTAACAGGAACAAAATTAAAATAGAAAACAAGATTTTATTAAAAAAAATTAAAAAACAGAGTCTTAGCCTGCTACACCTGAGAAAATTCAGCTTAAGTTAGAATATTATTTGGGAAGACTTTTTCACTCTACATTTAATACAATGTTTATATATAGACAGGTTAATTACAATACGGTTTAATAATAATAATGGTGGGCTTATAAGGCGCACATTGTCATGACCTCTATTATATTACTTTATTTATTTATTTTTTCAACCAACATGTCATTTTAGGCATAACAAGCAGTGGCCAAGCACCAAATTGCATGTTATTTATAATCAAATTGAATTTTTAAAAAGTTTTATTCCATTATAAAAAGGATTAAAATATTACAATATAGTTAAAATATGTATACATCAGAAAAATGCAATAATTTAAAAAAATCAAAATACTTGTAATAAAAAATTACATAACAATAAAAAATTTACAGCAAAAATTTGAGTAACTGAATAGAAAATTCATTATGAAAACGATTTATAAAATACAGTTAAAAAAGTTGAACATCAGAAAAATGTAAACATCAGAACATCATGCTCATCACAATGTAGAATAGGAAAGGTAAACAACCTACTTTCCTGGTTGCTCCTTTTCTGTAACTATGTAACCAAATGTTGGCACTCTATGCTTCAATGGGGCAGCCTGAACCAATATGTTGTCGTTTTCAAAACTACAGAAGATAACTATGGCGATAAATACAGCTGAAATATTAAATGATCATAAGTATTTTGCATCATCCCTTTAACGTTTGGCATCACTTCTTCTACAATGTTGCAACATTCTGCCTTTGCTAGATGCAATTACATTAGATTGACACAGACGTTCAGATTCAGATTCAAATTTATCTGTTTAATATGGAAAGTACATTTTCGGGTCGTTAAATTTTTATAAAAAATATTTGTTCCATATAGATAAAATATACATTAGCAGAGGTCCAAAGTTGGTGAAGTGAAATTTCTGGGTAATTTGTCGTTTATTGAAGTGAAATTTCTGGATTAAGTTTTTGGTGTATTAACTACTGTACATGTATGACATGTTAATTCAACGTGTGTCATGCTGTTACCAGAAGCCATTATAAATATTTAACAGAAACAATAGTAGTCCGCTTTTTGTAAGTGCAAACAATAGGCAAAATAAGTAATTTTCAGGTTTTGTTGAATTTAGGTGGTGATGCAAAGGCAAGGAGTTGTTCAAATAATATAATGTAAATAATACAATTCTTATGACGTTCTATAGAAATGTCATTCAGAGTGTGCTAACTGTAAATCTCATTATATTATTTGCAGGGCTGTCATGTGAAAATAAAAAACAATTAGAGAAATTAGGAAACGTGCAGGCAAAATTATTTGTGCTGACCTACCTACTATTAATGCTATCTATGAAGGTAGGGTTTAAAAAAAAATTAAACTGATCATTGATGATCCTACACACCCACTAAATGAGTACTACTATGTTTTTAATAGATCAGGAATTAGACTGCGCCCACTTAAAGGAAATCACGATCGTCTTAGAAAATGTTTTGTGCTAAATTATTGCCACCTATACAACTCGCTTGTTAAAAGATAGATCTTGACCCAGTTTGTTGATCTGTATCGATTGTAAATAGCTATATTAAATTTGATTAATATAGGCTTTTATGTAATGTATTATTAATCTTTAATTATTCTACTTATATATTTGTAAAATTTTATTTTGTTTTTGACTTATGTGACTATTGTAGTTTTGAGCTTGTCAACGAAACAAATTTCCTTTCTTGGACAAATAAAGTTTCTGTATTCTGTATAATTGATATAGCAACATTATAATACACATAATATAAGTTAATGGTACTGAACAGAATTAACAATCTAATAAATTAAAAATTATATCAATAAATGTAATTACAATTGATGGCAATTGACAATGATTATTATAGAGGTATAATTGAATTTCTACAATAATGATAATTTTGTTATACTCTAAAAATTGCTAAATATTAAAATCTTACATATTCCATACTCCATGTTCATCTTTTGCGATGGTCCGTCCCGGCAACTCGGAAGGATGTTGAGGTTCAACGGTATCATAGTTGGATTGCCAATCCTAAAAAATAAACATACATTACTCAAAAGTTGTAATGGGAGCTTTAGATTTTAAGAATTTAAATCCTACAACAAAATTTTACATAAATCAATAAAAACATGTTTCAACATACTTCCCAGTCTTCTGGTAACATGTCATCAGTAATTTGTAATTCATTAATTATGAGTGGGTAGTTCAACTGCGACCTCGATACATCCATACTCGTTCTGACGTATCTTCGTAATCCAGTGGGACCATATAGTTCAATGGGATCACGGTCTTCAATTGTCCCAAAGCTGATTGTGTTCAAAAAGCCAGGAAGACCATACAACTGTTGAAGAGAACAACCTACGATTGAAAATCATTATCTACTCCATTTTAGATATGGCTGTTGCTAAAGGCCTACTGTATGTTTTTCTTTTTTAATCTACAAAAGATATGGTTGGATTTTCTGAATGGTGGGTGCCCATGATAAAAACGATGCAGCAAGTAACTATGTAGGATTGATTTGTATGAACACCCTTACAGCGTTCTACTTATCTGAGTACGGACGATCAACAAGAGGGGTGGGTGTAATATACCTGCCAACTTGCCGTCTGGTGCGCCTTCTATTTTATTTTTTAAAATTGTAGTGGTGGAATTACAGTCGGTAGCTTTGTTAAAAGAACTTTATGGCCTGTATTCACATTTTAATGATGAATTCACTTCATTTTTATGAATTCAGCGTACAATGGGCTTATAAATTTTATCTTTTATAAAATTATTGATGCATGAGATATTTATACATTTTATCTTTTATAAATTATTATGATGCGTGAGATAAACGTGGGCGTGAGATGTAAAAAGTGGATGCTCCTGCATTATGCATAAGAGTTGGCATGTGTAGCATAAAAATGTAAGCCTTTTTGCATCATGAAATGCTTTAATGTCAAGCTTGTATATATTTTGTATACAGGTCTCTCTCCAATTAAAGACCGCTTCTAGGACTGGTCTTTAGCAGCTTTGGTCTCTAATTCGAATAATAAAGATAAAAGACATTTGTTAATTTGGGATCACAGAATAGTGGCCTTTAATTTAAGGGGTCTTTAATTACAGGGAGAGACCTTAATTGTAAAATATATTGTCACACAAAAAACTGTCTTACATGATCACCGTGAAGATGAGTTATGAAAACTTTTGTAATTCTTCCTGCTCGTATAATACTTCGCTGGAGCTGAATTTGTGTTCCTTCTCCACAGTCAAACATCCAGCATTCCCCTTCTGAAATAACAATTTTGTAATTTTCATATTTCTATAATTAATTACCCTCTTTTTAAGGCCAACCAAGGGTGATGCCATCAGTATACAGTAGATTACATGGGCCACCAACAGCGCTTAGCTCGCAGTCAGAAACTGTCAACAGGTCCTACCAGGTTGGACAGGTTAGCTTCTCTTTCACCACCCCACCCCAGCAGCCCTTGGGTAACATCATGGATACATTTTATACATTTTACTTTAAATTATAATTTTATATTTGTCCTTGGGTCACTCTGCCTTAAATTTTTTCATCCTTTTTGGAAGGGGCCTTTAGACATTGTTCATGAGTAGGCCCAGGCCACATCTCTATCTAGCTGTTTGACTCCACTGCAGGAGGAACCTCTGAACATCGAATTGTCATTCTTCTCTTCTCTGCAGCGTAACAACTGGGAAAAATGAAAATTCTGCAAGATTGAGTCTAAAAAATCCAAAGATTGCTTTAAAATCCCAAGATACACAAAATATTACTGTATATACAACTTCATTTTAAAATCCAATTTTAAAGCTTTATCAATTAATTTTATTATACTGTACTGTACAACGAAACAGTGCCTGGATTTTCGAGACCAATAACTTGTTCCTTTTGATATTATATACCTTATATGAACTAAAATCATACATAAAATATGACAGGCCAATTGTCTTTATTTAATTTGTATTACACAGAAAATATTCCAGTAGCATACTCTTACTTTAATAGAAAAAAGGCGTTGATTGTTTTAACTTCTTTCTCACATGTAAGCTGGTAATAGTAAAGTACTGTATTTTTTATGAATTTTATTGAACTTATAATTGTCAAATTAAAACACTATGAAAAGCATTTGCAAACTATGAGATGGTGCATTATTTCTTGGCATCTAAATGCAATATATTTGCTCAACTTTAGCCCTTACGTGCTGAAGCAAAAAGCCTATCCACCAATCCATTGGGACACATTATGATCAAGAGATTTAGTTAAAAAATTCACCATATTTATTTTTAGAAAAATGATGAAAATGGCTTTAACCATTGTTTTTATCAGAATTGAAAAAAAAATACTCAGACCTTCCAATGGGTCTCATTTTGAACAAATCAACCCTCATTCAATTGTGAACATAGGTGTTACAAGTAACTTGGTCTTAGAAGCCTATAATATGTACTGCTTGATAGAACAGAAAAATGAAAAGTTCCATCATTCAAAAATCCCAAGATTAAATGAAATGTTAACAAAAAATCCCAAGATGTCATTAAAAATTCCAATATCTTGCGATAAATCCCAAGCAGTGGTCACACTGCTTCTCTGTACATCTCTCAAGATCTACGTAATGTCTATTCAGTCCAGTCACTAGGCCTCCTATCGTAGGCTTAGACCCTCCTATCGTAGGCTTAGACCCTAGGCCTAGCCTAGACTGGACCTAGGTCTAGGCCTACACCGCTCTTCTTGAGGATCACCCTGCAACACGTTTACGAACGGATTTCAATCAAATAGAACCATTATTTACCATTTCTAAATATCAGAGATGATGCACATCTATTGGGAGATGGATAAGCCTGTCTCTTATACACATCTAGATGTGTATAAGAGACAGCATTAATTATGAGTGGGTAGTTCAACTGCGACCTCGATACATCCATACTCGTTCTGACGTATCTTCGTAATCCAGTGGGACCATATAGTTCAATGGGATCACGGTCTTCAATTGTCCCAAAGCTGATTGTGTTCAAAAAGCCAGGAAGACCATACAACTGTTGAAGAGAACAACCTACGATTGAAAATCATTATCTACTCCATTTTAGATATGGCTGTTGCTAAAGGCCTACTGTATGTTAAAAAGGATAATTTTAAAAACTTTTTATGATGAGTATTTCAGTGGAAGATTCAAGGGGCCCAGCCGGCCCACCATCCCTAATTTTTTTTTTTTTTTTTTCGAAATTTAAAAGTGGAGAAAAATGAAAATTATATTCAAATTTAGTCTGAGAGTGCCATTTCCGACCAACTAGAGGTGCCGTAATCATAAATTTTCTTATCTCAGCCCCAGCCATGGTGGAGCTGAGGTCGCCTACACTCTCCATCTGTAAAGGTCCCTCTGTAGGCCCAGCTCTATTTCAAATTGTTCGATCCGCCACTGGATATTTCAAAAATTTCGTATGGAAATTGCATTGCTTAAAATAAATTAAAAGGCTATAGGCGCCAGAGCTTCTCGGAGACTTCGCCCCCTGGTACCCAACCAAGACTTTATTTTTAATTTCGTTCCCCCCCCCCCCCCCCCCCCACCCCACTTTCAACCACGGATCGACGCCCTTGATTGTTTATTCCATCACGATAATAACAATTACCATTCAATAATAGTAATAAGTATATTCCTAGAGCATTTTTTGCAAGTGTTTTCACACGCATGGAATATTCAGTACATTTTCACGACAGGTTGGGCAAAATTGCACCTAAACGCCCCCCAACGAAAATCCAGGTACACAATAGTTGAACCAACTTCAAAATACAACAAATACAAATGTGCGTGACGATATTTTATTGCTATAGAAATGTGATTTAAAAACGTATATTGAATCTCCCACTGAGTATTCAATATATTTCCACGACAGGTTGGGCAAAATACATATAGGCCCCCTAATTGCTTCTCCTGACGCAAATCCAGGTATTGTCTATCGTCACGAAAATAACATTTACCATTCAATAACAGAACAGTCATCGACCTACTTGCAGTGAATTGAATCTAAAATGTATTCATGATGTTATGATGATCTGAAGTGTTTAAAAACGTACACAATAATAGTTCAACCAACTTTAATACCACAAACACAAATGTAGACAGAAATTGGCTAAAGTGGAACAGAGTGATAAACTATAAATATCTTTTAATATTTTCCAAGATAATTGTTGTTGTTTTTTTACTTGCAGCGTTTGGGAAATAGGTAATAGGTAAATTGTAATGAATATAATCAATAATATATAGCATCTAAAACCTATTATTATTGAAGGGTCCTTTTAAAGTTTAAATAGGATTTATATGAAAAGTTATATTTTTAGATCATTAGACCTATTGAACGAGCCCCCAATAGCCCCGGGCCCCAGTGCTGTGCACTGACTGCACTGTCCATACCTACGCCACTGGACCTAAGTATTATTAGTGGTTACATAACGTTTGCTATTCACTGTATCATGCGTAATATAAGTGGAAGACCATAATTTATTGGAAATATACCTCTCTCTCTGGTAGGGCCTACAGTACAATCAGTTTAAAAGTGTAAGGTATAGGATAGTGTGGATTTAAACATTTTCCTAATGGTAATGTTCAAAATAAGCGTCAAGGAAAGTATGTATGATTGTTGGAAAAAATGTTCAACATTTTATTTTGAATTCTCACCCTGACTTTCGCCTGGGCGCAGTGGGTGAAGGTCTGGATCCGCGTCTAGTTAGCATGAATTTTGTAAGCCATGACCCATAGTATTTTGTTACGTTTCTTCACAGAGGGGGGTTCGTCTGAACCCCCTGAACTCCCTGGATCCGCCACTGCAATGTGCTAATAGTTAATATAACTTTTAACGATGCGAAGCGAAGACGAAGTCCCCCAATTTGGTGATTAAATCGGCAATGCCCTAAGAAAGCTTCAAGCAACAAATTGAAATGCTTAAAAAATAAAGTGCATGTTTTACTAGAGTGCACGAGAAGCACACACACAAGACGAGTGACCATTATTTTTTGTTCACGGTAAACAAAGGCGGGTGGCTAGCCACCCTATTCACCACCCCGCCCCCCCCCCCCCAGATACGCCACTGATTGGGGTTTTGTATTTTTAAAAAAAGCAAACTATATTTGTAAATTGAATTATATAATTTTGTAATTGTATTTGTAGATTTACGATTTAGGCCTATATTTGTAAATGGGAGCAACTTTAATTGTGTAATTGTTAATCACCCTAGGAATTTAAATTATTTTTACGTATGTGTGTCAGAAGGTGCACAAATGAATGGTGTAGTAGTGTGAGACAGGGGCGGTTTTGCCACTATTTTAAAAATTTCAATGCATATTTATGTTATGTGCTACTCATTTATCTATTCTGGAACTGTTGTGTGCCCCCTCCCCATTTGAAAATTTTTGGATCCGCCCCTGTGACAAGTATAGTAATAATGACATCATACCAATTTTCGTCTAAAGTTCAAAACCCACTGTTTTTTTTTTAAACATGTGGAAAGGATAACATTGGCTAAGTTAGTATAATTTAAGATATATCATTATTTTTATGAATGTGGGTATGTTTGTTTGTTTATTTATTTATTTACTCTAAGATAGAGAATGGCAGGCTATAAAGGAAATTTCTATTCCCAGTAGGATTCACTTACCATATACATTCAGAACAAATTGAACTTTATTATTTTTTAACCTAAAAATCCATTAAATACGACTTGCTATACATAAGGCTATAGGCGTCTATCTCGGAACCGACTGGGGCTTTCCCCTGCCTCCCAGGCAAAGCTTGAGCAAATTGTTAGATCGAAAATAGAAATAATAGAAATTTTAAAGTACGGTAATTCGTATGTAACTCGCACAGGTTGTTGTTCGCACAAGTGGATCTTCTTCCGCTCGAACTAGCATCCGCTCAAAAAAAAAAAATCCGCTCGAATTCGCTCGAATTGGCCTTCGCTCGAAGTGGCATCCGCTCGAATTGACTGGCTCCCAGGCTGGGACATGAAAGGTTGTTGTTTGTTGTTATTTCGCAATTCGCGACGTCATCAACGAGTACAATACATTCGCGACGTCATCAACGACTACAATACATTCAATCCCGTAACATGATTGGTCTATTTTTCTAATGAATTTTTCCAACATTTTTGTCTATTTAAAAAAAAGTGTGTAAGTTGTGGAGATGGTAACAATCATAAATCGATTATAAATTTAATTATACATTTTTAGACAAAAAATAAACCCTCTTGGCCCACGACCCATTTTTTTGACACCATGACCATGCGTAATATTAACCTGCA